AGAAGTATTTTGTGGACAGCAAAATGCTAGGTTTGGAATAGAGCCCAAAGAAACATATGACATAATCTCTGTGGGTTTGATGTTCTTTGGGAGAAATACTAATCATTTGAAAATGGTTCATGATGCACCTTCATGACCTTCATGATCTTTCTTATGCCTATCACCACCCATCTTTCGCTTGAGACTAGTAGTCATATTGAGTCTCTAGAATTTCCTTGAACAGGACATTCTCATGTCCTTTGATTTTGCCTCTGATCCTTCTTTTGTATGGAAGCTATTTTCCTTATCTTCATCCTACTCCCAACAACTCTTCCCAGGTCACTCCACATATCAGTCAAAATTCAGACGGTACCTCCAGAAATTTGTCCTTTATCCACCATGCTGGGCATGTATACAATACTTTCCTATGTTTAGATCATAGAGCGGGGATAAGAGAGTGGTAAGAGATAAACCTAGAATGATAGGAAGGGGCTAGATAATAGATAGGCTTTTAGTTATTTTAACAAATTTGAATTTTATTTTATGAGTAGTGGGAAGACACTGAATGGTTTTAAGGGAGGCAGGAACTTTCCAGCAATAGTACTCCACCTTCCTCTTACATTATCATGATCAATTTCATAATTTCCTTAAATGCCAGTGAGAATATTTTGAGTGTTGGGATCCAAAGCCTATTTAAATTAAGCTCAATTACATATTCTTATTGCTAATCTCTCTTCTGAGTTTTAATCTCTTATTTCTATCTGCTTGTGGGCAATTTCCACTTAAATATTCTTTCACATCAAAATAAGCCTGTGTAATATAAACTCATTAACAATGCCCTTGTATGACCCTACCTCAGTTGAAAGTGGTTCTCTATTCCTACTATTCCAGGATTGAATTTTTTGTTGTTGTGGAAATGTAAAAAATCATAAGCTGAAAAGTGGAAAACCTACCTAAAATTGTTGTCCTGCTACCCAGGCAAATTGTTTAGACTTTCTGAACTTCACTATTGTTATCTACATAATGAAGATTCAAAATACAAGACTTATACCATGGGTACTAAGAGTGCTAAATTTAGAGTTACTATTGCTTCATCACTCTCATTCAGACCTCTCATTTTTTTAATTCAATGTATATCTAATCAAGTTTCTCTTCCATTTTCATTGCTCCTGTTCTCTGTCTACAAACCTGACTCCCCATGTTTCTACGTCTTATTAAATTGAATCTATTATTGTTGCATCCTTGGGAAATTAAATTAGCTTCCACACTGGATTCCCTGGTTCTTTTAGTCTCTGTCTATTTAAACCAGCTTATGTACCTTATGTCATTACTCTTGTCAAGAGGATTCTCTTGCTTATAGGATGAAATTAAAATCTATAAATTGGATTCAAATCCTTCTAAGGTGCATTGTTCCTCTCTACATTTTCCAAAATGACTCTTATACAAATCTGTCCCAACCCTAAAGAAACCCACATGCTATTATTTTTTATGAAAATATTCTCAATTATATCTTTCTGCAAATTGAAGTCCTTTTCCATTGATTAAGCGAAGTCTTTACTGATAAGGAACTTCATCCAAGAAAACTATTTGAATCCCTTAACTTCTTATGGCAATGATTCTCTCTTGCCCTAGTTTCACACTGTTAACCTACAGGAAATAATTGATATCCAGTATCATCTCTGGACACATAATGTTGATGGTTGGTTTTGAGCATTGATACGTGACAAAACAAGTAGTTAATGCTTTTTTTATGTGATAACAGCTCCCTACTACATACTGCTTTATAGATTACAAAAATATAGATTTTATTTAAACAATACATTTTACCTGATGGTAATACGGTATTACCCTTTGTTAGATGAAGAAACTGAGCTTCAGAGAAGTTACAAATCCTTGGTTTTCCCAAGGATTCACAGCTGGTAAAGGAGAGTCAACACCTGAATGCAGATCTCCTCCCTGATAAACTTTGCCTACTACTAAGCATCATTCTTTCATCTTCTTTACCTCTCTTGAAATACATAGCTGTTTGAGGATGCTTGCATGTGTTTTTGCAGGTGAATAAGATGTAGGCAGACAATGTCCACACTTAAAGTAAATCTCACCAATTATTTACACCACAATACAAATGAGTTTATTAAATTTTTCTATTAGAGCAAGTTGTGAGGAAGAAGTTACAAAGCACCAGGAGAGGCAGAAAGAAGTGGTTTGATGGAATAGAATAAAATATTTAGGAAGGAAGGGAAAATGGGAGACGCTGGAAGAGACTCTTTGCTTTAGCCTTGAGCTGGCAAAATTTCACCACTGATAATACAAAATGGTGCCGTGAAATCAAGAGGGTGACCTAGACAAATCTTCTTGTCAAATGGTATGTTTTTCCCGTTCAATACATCATCTCTGGCTCTTTATTTTCTCTGAAATAAATTCTCTCGGAGAAAACACACATTCTAGAAAATAAAATGTTCAAGCTACAAAATGACATCTCAATTACTTGCTCATTCAATCATTCTTACAAGTAAAACAAAATTGATCAATAATGTTTGCTGTAGTGTGCCCCATTAAGCAGCTTTTCTTCCTACTATATCTCCATAAAGCTTTCTATTTCCAAAAGGACAAGGATTGAAAGAATAATAACAAATATATGTCAAGAAGGAGAGTATATGGTATGTTAAATCTGTTTATGCTAATCTTAGTTTATCCTTTCCAAAGTGAATGAAATGAAATTTTGAGAGCATCCACTTCATGACCTTAATTCCCACTCTGGAAGTTGTCTTTCCTGGGATGCATTTGGGTGAGAACATAGTTATTGACTTGATATACCAGATGTTCAATTTGCTCTTGGTTTCTATAGTCTTTTTATATTAATTTTGGCTAGTCATTTTGACTGTTTACTTATGTACATAATTTAGGGTTTTCTATTCCCTCCCCCTTCTCCTAACATCATTTGCTGCAATTTTAGCTATGATTTTGCATACATATCAAGAAGTAAATCTAAACTTGGTAAGTGATACAAAAATAATTTTCTTTTTCATCCTTTCCCCTTTTCCCTTTCCTTTGGCATTCTATCCACACACAACATATATTCTTTAATACGGTTTTGAAAAGAAAACAATAACAGCAAGGGATGATCTTTTAACTGACTTTTATAACTCTAGTGAATGAGAAGATATTATCTACCAAGCATTCATTCTCCTTTCATTATTTTTCTGTTCTTTCTCTCTTCCACCTTTTTCTCATCCCATTTTTCTCTCTTTCTTTTGCGACTATGAGTTTCTAAAGGTCAGTAATCCCAGTAGCAGTTATATAGTATATGCTCAAGAACTGATTGCTGAATCAGGGAATGAATTATATACTGTAACAGCCCATTGGCTCCTTTGCAATTGGTTTCCAACCTTTATTAACCTCTTCTTTTCCCTTGTAATTTTATAAGCTCTATGAGAACTTTATATTTAACATGATTTCTATTTATTGGGTACATATACTGTGACAAGTACTGAGGACATAGCAATTAACAAAACAGTTAATAACCTTTGCTATCACGTTACTTTCATTCCAATGAGGAGAGAGAAAAAAAGTTGAAATTAGCAAGTAAAATATACAGTATATAAGCTGAATATAAATGTAAAGGAGAAAAACAGGAAAAATGGAGAGGGGGTTTTGAAGGGGCCTGCAATTTAAGGTGTTGAGTGAAGTCTTCACTAAGAAGGTGCCAGTTTCAAAAGGACTCGAAGAAGGTGAGGGAGTGAGCCATGCTATTTAAGGAGGATACAGCAACACCAAAGACATGTGGCATGAGTCCGGCTGGCACATATGAGAAAAATCAAGGGGTCGATATGGCTGGAGTGGAGTAAGCAAAGGGGAGTTTAGTCAATGAGTGATTTTCTCAGTGATAAAGCCTGTTTTAGTTGGCTAGGACTGCCATAGCAAAATACCATAGGCTGGGGGTTTTAAACAGCAGAGATGTATTTTCTCACAGTTCTGGAGGTTGGCAAGTCCAAATCGAGGTGCTGGCTGGTTCGGATACTGGTAAGTGCTCTCTTCCTTGTTTGCAGACAGCTGCCTTCTCACTGTGTCCTTACATGGCAGAGAGAAGAAGCACGAGAGAGCTCCCTGGCCTCTCTCCTTATAAGGCCACCAATCCTATCTTATCAGAGCCCCACCCTTATGACTTGACTTAACTGTAATTACCAATTTATAGGCCCTGTCTCCAAATACAATCACAATGAGGGTTAGAGCTTGATCCTATAGTGCCTTATCCAGCACGTACTCCTGTGTTGTATTTCTTATACGTATTCCTTGGTTCTCCCTGCCAAAGTGCACAGTCCTTAAGAAATACTTTTTGGTTTTTTCCTAACAACCACAGTGCCCAGGCTAGGGCTTAGTTCACAGTAGAAGGTAAATAAATGCCTTTAGTATAGTGATACCTTCTTGTTCCTTTCTTCATTAGGAAAGCTTTTTTAGCCAGGATATAGTATAATATTCATAAAATACAATTAAAGCTCTAAATGTGTTTTGAGTCTCATATATGCGTATTCCCATGTACATTTGTGTGTACATATAACACAATAACAGCTATGACAGAAGCAAAACGTTTATATATAAGATAATTTTGCTGCCCAAGATATTATGGTGATCATTCCAAAATTGTGTTTTCCAAGGACAAGTTTGGATAAATAAAAATGCTCTGTGAATATTCAGCTGTGCTTTTGGATTGAAATTTCTACTGTTCTGAACAGATCCCAAGAGTATTTCTACATTTAAGGTTCTAATACATCTTGAAAGTCTAGCTCACTGTAGAGAAGAGAGCTTGATTTGCTCATTTTCTTAAGGCAGGCACATAAGCTAAGTCAAAAATATCTTCTGGAGAAATAGTTGTGTTATAGGCATGTTTTATGCTTTGAGCGTTTTTATAGAGTTAAATCTTTTCACTTTCGAAATATGGAAGAATCATCCTTATCATTTGTTAAATCAAGCAGATATAGCATGAGCCCATAAATATATTTTATAATTTATAAAGAGCATACCATTTGTTAGATTTCCAAATCTAATAATATTGAAGCTACCAAACTGGTTCCCAGAAGAAAATGATAATAAATGATAGTTCATTAACGTAGCCAAAGTTGCTAGAGATGGTTTGACTTGAAAACAGGAAACAGATTGAAATCCTTATTAAAATACAGTTGAGTGACTTTGAGAAAGTCATTTGTCTCTTTCCTTGAGATGCTGTATCTGGAAAGAAAATGGGAAATGATTAACATAATGTGTGAAATAACATTTAGTAAATTGAACAATGCTATTCAAACTAAGGTATTTTAAAAGCCATCTGAAGTAGGAATCTCACCTTCAATATCCTTAATACTGTTACTGATGCTGTTACCCTGTTACTGTTGGGAAGGGAAAGAATTCAATCTATGATTTAAATACAGATCCTAAAAATGGAAGTTTGTACATACTAAAATGTAAAGGTTCAACTTGTTTTTTTCTCCTTCGAAATTGACTACTGGTAGAGAAAGTCATTGCTCATTGAAAAGTTCCATATAAACTTTGATTTTTTAATTTCTGAATTTCCCTTGGGCAGTAGGAAGAGAATTGGACAGACATCTGGAATCACCCGTTATCTTAGCTATGATTTGGCATATCCCAGGATGGTCCATATTAACATATCCCTGGATGGCAGAAGTTATCATATGCCTTCATAGCATAACTTGCATATTTTGGAAGGCATTTCTGAGAACAGATTTTTTCGACAATGAGCATGCCAAAGGCTTGACATGAAAAGTGCTTATGCCTAATGTCTGTCATTCTCTCTCTGCCAGTTCATCTTTCCTGGGCTGGCCCTCCGCCACACTGGCACCTGAAATGCAGCAAACAATGTCGTTGGATGCTGAAGGTGTGACCGTAAGTTGTGGTTATCTTCCAAGCAATTACCATATGGTGTGCAATTCAGGTCTTCATCTCCTTGTTTGATGGGAGAATAATAACAATGACAATAATGCCATTTAATAACGTATTTTATGTTTATGGACTATTTCATTCCCATATTTTTGTGTCTTTGAATAAATTGATGCAAGGGGAACTTAGGCACCATTAAAGTTTAGTCACTTCTCCAGAGTGGGAGGCTGTTGTATATAAAACAATTCTAAAGCAGGCCTGATGAAGAAACAAGGGAGATTAGCATATTGAAACAGGATTAAGGAGAAATTTAAGAAAAATAAATTACCAAGTGAAGCATTCCTTTATACAAAGCAGGCCCTGTGTCCAAGCTTCTGTTTTTTCTCCATCATTCATAAGAAATATTTTGTGAAGTGTCTGTAGAACAAAATAGAGAAAGAAAAGCCTTCTGGAGGTAAGTTGCCCTCATAAATACGCATTGGGCTCTCTACTAGACCTCAAATTCAATGTCTACGACTGTCAAATTTATGAAACTGGATCACCATTTTCATAAAATTTCAAACCAGGAGATCACTGTACCCAACTCATAGGAGATTGAGTCAAGTCTGAGATGTCACTCAAAGTTTATGCAGCCAATAAACATTTACTGAATACCAATGTGTTGAAGATTTAGTGATTATATAAGTTTTAGTTCCTGCAATCAAGGATTTTGCATCATCATGATGGAGATTGAAAATTAAATCAAGGATTATGATCCCACACAAGAAGGGCTGTGGTAGAGCATATTGCAAGTGGGGCATCTCTGAAGTCTTCCTGGAGAAGATGATTACCGTGCTGTATTTTATAATGAAAATTAGAGTTAATCGCATAAGAGAAGAGAATGGATTTTTACACACAGCAAACAACATGCCTATACAGTCATGCATCACTTAACGATGGAGGTACATTTCGAGAACTGTGTCATTAGGTGATTTTGTTGTTGTGCGAACATCACATAATGTCTTACACCAAACCTGGATGGTATAGTGTACTACACATCTAGGCTATATGGTACTAATCTTAGGGGACCACCATCCTATATGCAGTTTGCTGTTGACTGAAACATCATGATGCCGTGCATGACTGTAGTTATGGAGGATTGATCTCCACTACATATTTAGGAAACTAAAAGAATCAGATAGAATAAAATATGTGATTTGTTTTTAAATATTTAATCTTTTTAAATTTTATTTAATTAATTAATTTTTGGCTGAGGAAGATTCACCCTGAGCTAACGTCTGTGCCAATCTTCCTCTATTTTGTATGTGGGTTGCTGCCACAGCATGGCCACCAACAAGTGGTGTAGATCCATGCCCAGGAACCAAACCCAGGCTGCCGAAGTGAAGCATGCCAAACTTAACCATGGGGACAGCCCCATTTTTGATTTTTAAAAGAGCTCTATCAAATGGAAAGCACAGGCATTCTTTTTCCCATTTTATGGAAGAGGACATGAGAATTCAAGAGGCTAAGTTACTTTTTCAAATTAAGCTATAATGGACAGGAAGATCTGGTCCTAGAAGAGTGGCCTTCAGGTTTTCCATTTAGCACTCTGTGCACACACTACATTGTACAAATTTATACTTCACAAGGAAGATGGACTATGATAAAGGAATGCAGGATGATTAGTTTGTACAATGGGAACAAACTTTTGAGAAATCTCTAGAGAAGAATATGCACCCTCTCCCTATTGCAATCTGCTGAGAATTTCTTCCTTTCCCACATAGCCATTGTTTATTTATATTTTCCTCTTTATGTGTAAAAATTAATTTCAGTGAAGCCCTTCATATATTTAAGCACTGATAAATAACGGTATAGCTTTCTCCACCAAATGATCTAAATTATACATTCAATACAATTTCTTAAAATATTATTAAACAACTTCTATGTACAAAATATTTTGAAGTTACTAGGGAAAGTGTATGAGAAAGTAACAAATATGAGTATGGAACTATCCCTTCCTGTAGTAGCTGATAGTCTAGTAAGGAATACTAACTCACAGAGAACTCTAAGTGAAGACAGAATAAGTACAAACAGCATAAAGGTATTCTGGGGATTCGAGGAAAGATGATTCTAAATTCATTGTGAGGATACATGGAAGATTTCTTAGAGGAGAAACAGTTTATGCTGTAATCTAAGGGATAGCCATAATTTTTTTTATTTTTTGCTGAGGAAGATTTGCCCTGAGCTAACATCTGTTGCCTGTCTTCCTCTTTTTGCTTGAGGAACATTCACCCTAAGCCAATAGCTGTGCCAGTCTTGCTCTATTTTGTATGTGGGTCACCACCACAGCATGGCCACCAACAAGTGGTGTAGGTCCTCACCTGAGAACTGAACCCAGTCGCTGAAGTGGAATGTGCCAAACTTAACCACTAGGCCATGGATAGCCATAATTTTAGTAGATGTTATGGGGTCAGAATAGTTGCAGAGAGAGTGCACTAAGTGAAGAAAAGAAAAAGATCAAGAAAGCCTAGAATACACTGCATAAATAGAGTAAGTGAGACCAATGGTGATAGATCCACCTGGAAAGCTCAGAAATTGTAGAGATGTTTATATTCAAAAGAATTACTAGGAATTTATATCTATGGTCATATTAAAATTTACTTATTATTTTCCTTCCCATTATATGTATATGTCTGCATATCTGTGTGTGTGTATATATATGTGAATGTGTGTATATGTATGTAGGTAGATAAATGTTATATTTTATACACATATACACATAAAACAGAGAGAGAAAGAGTTTTAATATGAATTCTATCATTTATAGATGGGTAAATTAATGTCAGAATAATTAAGGGGTTTATACAAACTTATACAGGTAGTCAGCAACAAAAACAGGCTGTAAACCAAGTATGAATTATCCAGATTTGGATGGCATTGTGCACAGGAAAAAGTCCTCAAAGTGCTGTAGAAGCTCTTCTCAAATTCATCTGAATTTACATTTCTGGTCTCATCTTCTCTCAACACACTCAACCTTTTTCTCACAATGAACTCTCAGTGTTACTGAGCCACCCAGACCTGTTTTAAAAACCTTCAAGCCATTGCACGTGCTGTCCTTCTTCTGGGAAGTTCTTCTCTGGACAGACATTCACGTATATGCAGCCAGTTTTATGAAAGAATGACCTGTGATGCAAAAAAAGCTCTGAAGCCAGCTGCACAGGGTGGGATGGGAATGGGGTGGGCAAATCTTGACGCGGGTGATATATGGATACTACCATGAAATTTATTTATTTATGTAGTTATAATTTATAACCTGCTTACTTCCAGAAAGGATTTGAGTCAGCTAGCTAAAATTTAAAATACTTGCAAAAATCCTATTTTGAAGTTCTTTGATGTGAAAATTATACTGCACAAGTTGGCACACCAAGAGTTTCTCGTCTAATTTCTGCCTCCATGTCTGATCCATTTCAGCAGTGCAATTGCTTGATGATTTTTTTTTTTTTAAGCAAATTTAACTGAACAACTCACACTCTCAGAAAGGCTTTGATTTTGCTTTGGTTTGTGCTCAGGGCAAAGATTTCTGGCTCTAGTTTTCCCATCCACCATCGTGAATTCACTTCAAATAAAATGCAAGAGGAAATCAATGTCCAGTGTCTTGGCTGAAAATGAAATGAAAACAAACATTCAGGATGCACTGAGCATGCAGGTTTCTGTAACTAAACTTGATCAAAGGACTAAATGTGAGGAAGCGGGCAGAGTCTATTTTTCTTCATTAGGAAAGGCCCAAGGGCTAATAATTAGGAAGCTGGGATAGTCCTCTTCAGTGCTGGCCCTAACATTTAGTGCATGAGATGAGAGATCTTGTTTCCCAAAAAGTGTTTCTCTGTGTATTGGTCACTTTGTGATGCCTTAAATCTCTCTCTTCATGCTTTTCTTCCCTCCTTCCTCTCAAAATTCAGTTAAGGTTATTGAGGGCCCTCCTGTAATATGCTATTCCAGGAAGGAAACTTATAATGCCTTATAATGAAGAAAATTAAAACCTGGATTAATTTTTGTAGTAAATTCTGTAACAATTTAGTTACTTAACATAAAATGTATCTGTGGTTATTATATTTAAAAAGAAAAGCATTCGATAAGAAGGAGAGCTTTAGAATGATTCCCTCAGAGTGAGACACCCAAAAGGAAAAGAAAAATAACCAATCACCGTTGAAAAGTTAAAGAGCAATTTGGGATTTTTGAGCTTGTCAGAGGAAGAGGTGAGGAGTCAGAAAATATCTGAAAGAGGTAAGAGACCTGGAGGACAGAGGCCAGAAGATTGAAAGGAGCTCTGAAAAAGTCACTTGAATCTGAATCTGAGTTAAAATAATAAATCCTGCTAATAAGTCTTTGGTTCTTGATTTCAGATTTTTTGCAGTGAGAAATAATCTTCTGAGTTCCTATCTAATCCACTTGTGCATTCTGTTTTCTGGGCTAGGCGTTGGGTTTTAATTCACTTCCAAACATTCAGGCCAAACTACCAAAATGTGTCTTTGCTGAATGAATTTTATGCCTCTAAACTTTCATTCATTTCACAGTTTGTTCCATATAAGCCTGTGTTTTTAAAGCTTTTCCTCTTCCATCTTCTAAGGGGAATTATAGAAGAGAAAATATAAAATGCTGAGAAAAGCTATGTTGGTTTAGGTTAGAAAAAATAAGGGGGAGGTAAAGCCAACTTGGACTAGAGTTGAGGAAGAGAAATAAGAGATGGAGCGGAAGTAGATTGTGAGAAAGTGTAGGCAGAAATGTGAAAACATTCTTTGGGGCATTTGTTGTGTGTTGAATTTAACTCCCACTTTGATATGCCTCTAAAAGACTTCCACAAAGATTTCCATTGTATCTCAGTATTTTTTGGAAGTCATACTTTGTGTTTTATTACTGCATCACCATACAGATCTAATAGCTTTGAGTAGAAGAGACACAGTTCCTGACCTTATGGAATTTGAGGTACAAATGACAATGATCATCTGCACGAACATAATGACAAAGTGTCATTAAAGTTTTCAGCCCTTTATGGTCATCATCTCATTAATATGTTCTGTAATTTTTCTCATTAATGTCTGGATCTATACTGTCTTTAAGGCTCTATCAATCTGAGGGAAATGCTCAAAGAACAGAGTCAGAGAGTGTAAGCCCTCTCTATTCCCAACATACCTTCTCTGTATCTTATCTATTGTCAATAGAGACAAAGATTTTAAAATCTGAAGATGAATCATCTTGATTTCAACTCTTGAATTCTTATCTTTACTCCCAGGATTAAAACACCCACTCCAGTGCATGATATTACCACTTAGGTTTGTCCACAGCTATTAAGTAAATTACCCATAGCACTGGAAAATGAGTAGCGTGAAACATACAAACTCTATATTCAACTGTCCCATTAGCTGTGCCTTGATTCTCAACAATCATGGTCTCAACCAGATGGCAAATGCTCCATAACATGTGCTAATTGGTAATAATAGTAATGGCCAGCACAGAGCACTTACTAGGTGTCAAACCCTACTCTGAGCATTTTCAATATACTAACTCATTAAATTCTCCTAACAATCCTATAAGGTAGGTTTATTACCACCATTTTGCAGATGGTGAAAATGAGGCAAAGAGAGCCTTAAAAATTTGCATATAGTCACACAGCTAATGAGAGAGCCAGCATTCAAACCCAGGTTTTGTGGCTCTCTATTAGTTTTTATGATTAAATTCATTCCCTTACTAATACATCAGTTGATGTTGAGATCATCCTCACTCCTATTCTGAGGACAGGCAGTCAGTTGGATTCATAGGTGCTAATGTATTTAATGGAGAATCTTGGTTATGAGTAGTCCCCTTCTCCCAAATAACCATTTGTCCCCTCTTTATATTTTAATAACGGCCTCTCGGAGACCTTTTATATTAGGTTCAGAGTTGGTAGGAGCACCTTAATGCAGTTTCCTCATTTGAATCCTTCTCACAACCAGCTAGTGAGGTGGGTACAAATACCCCTTTTTTTGTCAGAAATAAGGCCTAAATATCAGAAAGTTTACATGTTACCCTTGGTCACAGAGCTGTTCTGTGCCGTAGCCTGGAATCACACCACATTTTTTTTATTGTTGTTCTTGGGCTCTGCTATAGTTTGCATCTTTGCCCCCAACAATTTATGTGTTGAAATCTTAATACCCAAGGCGATGGTATTTGGAGATGGGGTTTTTGAGAGGTGATTAGATCATGAAGGTGGAGCCTTCATGAACAGAATTAGTGTCCTTATAAAGGAAAGTTGAAAGAGCTCTCTTGCCCCTTCCACCACGTGAAGTTATAGCAAAAACATGGGTGTCTAGGAAGTGGACTCTCACCAGACACCAGATATGCCAGCATCTTGATGTTGGACTTTTTAGGCTCCAGAACTATAGGCAATAAATTTTTATTGCTTGTAATCCACCTTGTTTATGGTATTTTGTTAGAGTAGTCCAAAGGGACTAAGGCTATTTCTGCCATATCATATCAAGAACTTAAAATCTTGGAAATATCCTAGTTAAAAACTGGCAGAAGACAAAAACAATAATTAAATGTGCGGCAAATATTACAGGTAAAATTTAATTGTTTTTACTTAGCTCAGCCCCAAGTATTCAGCCCTAAAATGAGGATAGATCTCAAACATGACTGTAAGTTTTTTCTTCACAAAGGAACTTTGATACAATAATGAACTGAAGTATAAATTATCTCAATTGACTGAATCAAATTATAATAATGTGGTGGTAATAAGTTGATAGGACTGAGTGAAGAAAATTTTAAGAATATCACCAGTAAAACCTTCCGGGCCCAGCTAGTAAAATATAAGCAGAAGGCAACTTCCATGAATGTTTGATTAGCAAACAACAGGAAATTTTTGTGCATACTTTTTAGGTGACAAGATAAATCAGCATTTGTTGTGTGATAGCATCTTCATCTGTGACCATACCTCTTATAAAACCCACAGCATTTTCAACTAAGGACATAATACTGACCCTTAAGAAAATGATTTGAGACTTTTTCAATCCTTCATTACTTGATTAATTTATAAATAAATATTTTTATCTGTTTAGTGATTTTGAGACACAGATGTCTTAATAAATTCTACCACATCTGTTAACCTCCCTATCCTCTGTATTTTGGTTCTAAAAATAAAGAAATAGAACTGGTCCCTTTACCATCAAAACTGAGGAATTCAAAAGTACTTGAGATATAAAAGATATGTTACTTTTTATGCTCAGATTTAACTGAAACAAGCATGAAATTGAATTAATTCTCCATTTTGTTTTGAGGGTATATGTGCAATGTGCTTGACTACAGAAACGATGATGTAATTAGATTTGTGGTTTAGCATTTTCAAAGAATTTTATTTGATAGATACACATAAATATATACAAAAGAATTTTGCATAAATAAGGGTAAAAGAAAATTATAGTAACTGAGTCAAGCAAATATATTTAAGCAATTATGATACAAGTTAAAATTAAATTAATTGATTTATCTTAAAGTTAGAATGATATTGTAACATATTTTTGAATAAGAGAAATATAAACATAGATCGCAAGTGATTATTTTGGCATGTTTAGTAGTTTCAAAAAGAAGAAAATTCAGTTTGGACCACAGAGATTACCTTTTGTGATTCAAGGACAGGGTGGCTCAGAGACAGGGTGAAGTTAACAAAACTTTCTTTGAAAAAAAGAGAAGACAGAGGAGTATAGTAAGTTAGATCTGCATAGTAGAAGCTGCTGAATAATTTTACTTTAAAATAGTAAGATGTCTTATCAATGATACTCAAAGACACTAAGTAACTGACACATCACTTCATCGCACATTGAATAGGCCTGGCTTCAAACGCAGTATTACATTGGTTAAATGAAGCTTGTTATAGGAAAATAACAGTGGTCAAAGCTGCTATTTGGGGTTTCAACAATAAAGGAGCAGAAAGGTAATACATAGGCTAATTTTCTCTACTCTACCTCATGCTGAATAAAAGCTACACCCACCAGCTGTCCTTTGTGGCTATGTGGAAATTATAGTTGAATTTTCTCATGAGTCCTTGCCTTTCAACCACTAATACACTTAATTCTGGTTAGATTAGAAAATTTAGTGCAGGACTGGTTTGAGAGAGAGTGTGTGTGTGTGTGTGCACGCACACTGAAAGGGGTTGTGTGAGTGGAACTGATGTGAGGATCAGCTGGTGAGGTATGACATGGCAAGAAGGAAAACAGAAATGGAAACGAGGGTAAAGAGGTTCTGTAGCCTGGGATATAGACAGAAGCAGAGCCCTCCAGGTTTCCTGTGAAATTACAAGCAGCAAGAGAAAAGCGAGAAGGAAGAACTCAAACTGGTGGAAATGGCATTGCTGAGTGTCGCCTTGGTGCTACCTCCAAGGACACGTTTACCAAGCCCCTTCTTCATTGAGCTGCAGCAGTCAATGACCTCACCAGCTCTGGCATAACAAAGGATTGCTGGATTAGCTATTTTGACTGCATTGATCAGCAAATTCAATACAACACTAGCTTATCTGACTTTTAACAACTCCCCCACCACAATTGACCAATGTTTTAGCTGGAGTGACTGGTCGTGTCTGTTAAAATTGCTGAACCAGCAACGATGGTCAAATTTTTCCAAAAGCTTGAGAGAGGTTGTGGATATCTCAGTATGACAGATTTGTAC